TTGCAGTACTTTTTGTCCCAACAGTTAACTTAGAACATAAGTTAAATTAAAATAGAATAGTTGTTGTGACAAGGATATATCTGCTCTACAACACTTGTCTATTTTTGGAAAGAGACGTTAGAATGTGAATCCGACTACACTTGCCAATTTCATTCACATTTCCGGCCCCATCAATTAATAACAAATAAGTGGTGTTGAGGTTTTCCACAATGGTGTTCCATTTGTTTCTATTCTACTATAACTTAAATCTTAAGTAGTGACGGAAATTCTAAATATAGTCGCGTATGCACAGGTACCCACCACGTTATCGGCTTATTGGTACAAAAAAACAGATAATTTACTATTTCTATTTACTTGAATTATAGAAATATTAGATTTTATTATAAGGGTACTCGCACAATGCAGCGAGATATATCTTCATTTTAATGTTTCGTTTTTATTTTTTGTCTCTGTTGATATAATACGATATATGTGGTTTTGAGAAAAATAATGTTTTTACGATTTAGTGAAGTAATTTATTTTTGGATTAACAATAAAATTTAATAAAGATAATGATTCTGTTAGAACTCAATGATTACCCTAATTATATTTTTGATTTTTTATATTCAAAATAAGATGTTTATCCTGTATTTGATTATTTTATCTGCAGTTAGTTATACGAATTCAAACATGAAGTTCTAATAAGTTGTAGTTACGCATAATTTACTTGTAATCTTAAATATTAAATAATATGCATTAATACACAGTACTTCATGCATAATAAATGGTTTTTAAAAGTTTTTGTCAAATACTTTATAATATAGTATAGATAATATATTTAAGAGTGAGTCACAAACGATTTGTCTTTGTGGTTTGCTCAAATTTTGGTTTTGGTTCCTAAAACAAACCATTTATACTGATTGTTCTTAATTTTTCAATTTCATAACACTTAAAGTCTCTGATGGTAATACTTTCTGATAGACAAAATAATATGTGAATCGTAACTAATTTTAGAATAAATTACACTTTTGGTCCTTAGAGTTTACTATATTAACAATTATTAACCAACGATAATAACACCAAAAATCTCGAGTGTTATAAAATTGCCATTCTGACTAAAGTCAATAGTCACGTGCGTCGTTGTGACAGTTGACTAAACCCGAACCACAAACTATCAATCTACATTCTTCAAATCCTAGGCTTCCATGACGTCATCAATATTGTAATATTTTAAAATTCTGTTTATTTTTTATTTTTATATTTTATGTTTTCATTGACATGTTTCGAAATTAAAAAAAGCTCTTTTTAATTATTAAAAAAAAAGATATAATATTTGATTGTACGTATTTACTTAATTATATTATTGCATTTATTAAATAGGATAAAAAACAGTTGTTAAAATTCATTTATGACTTATTAATGTATAATGTCTTAAAATTCAAGTTTATAAGCTCGTTCATAACATAACTCTCCTACGTAAGTGATAGATCTATCACTGAGAACTAGGGGTGCTTACGGTCCAGATTGATCGATTTGGAGCCGTTTTAACAACCCAACCAAATATTGGCGGTTTGAAAATTTTCAACCCGACTCAATCCAAACAAAAGTTCAACCCAACCCAACCCAACCCGTTTGGGTTGATCGGGTTGTGTTTAAACAATGTAAAATCACATAAAAATAAAGGAAACTTTCCTTTGAAATACGACCGACCATTCAAGATAATACGCAAGTTCATCAAATATTTAGATATTACAATAAAAATGTTTAAACCAAATGATAATACATTAATCAACAACAATAGTTTTAGAAGTTTCCAACCCCGATGCTTTCGCTTTCTTGACGTTGAAGTTGGTCATGTCATGATTGTCATCTACAACTCAAAGCTAAAGTTAAGGTCGGGTTCATCGGGTTGTCGGGTTGGTCAGGTTTTTTTGGGCCTGACCCGATTCCAACCCAATAAGGTCGGGTTGGCTAATTTTTTTATCGATCATGCATTGGGTTACCTCGGGTTGAGTTTTTATTTTAAATTCGGGTTGGGTTGGTCGGGTTCATCGGGTTTTTGAGCACCCCTACTGAGAACCACTTCGTTCCACTCTCCCAACAGGCGAGGGGACTAATGGGTTGAAGGCGGTTTTATCATTATACACATACAGCTTTCAAGACCTTACAGTTAAACTATATATATATATAAAACCAACTGAATAAGACGTTTAAATACAAGATAATTGTTAAATTTATTAATATGATAGAAGACTTAGGGGCTGTTTACCAAATACCAAACACTTATCCGGGTAAGCGCTTACCGAGTCACATTACTTCATTGGATGAATATGGTAAGGATCATGAATCTTACCGGTAAGAGCGAGACAAGGATCATGAATCTTACCGGTAAGAGCGAGACAAGAACCATGAATTTTACCTGTTAAGTGAGGGCGACAACTCTTACCGGTAAGTGCTTACCGTGTAAATTGTTGTATACTATGTCGTTTTGATGGAGTAAATCTTACCTGGTAAGAAATTAATAGTGTTAAATTTTACCCGTAAATACTTACCGTGTAAGTGTTTGGAAAACGGTCCCTTAATCACTAAACCAAATATAAGTTACATTCTTAATTTTTTTTTAATATTTAAATTTTGATAAAATTAAACAAATTGTAACAAAAAATAAGAATTTTATATTTTTAATTTGACACTTGTATTTAGGGCTGTAAACGAACCAAACGTTCAGTGAACCGTTCGACGGAAAGTTCATTTATGTTCATTTATTTAATAAATGAACGAACATGAACAATTTTTTTTGTTCGTTTAGTTAAAAGAACGAATATGAACAAAAGTCTCGTTCGTTAATTTACGTTCGTTTATGTTCGTTTATATATTAATTTTTGATATATAACTTTTATTTATTTAGTTTGAATTCAAGTTTTAAAAAGCCTTTTAAGTATTGGTATATTAATGATGGTTGATGAATGATGATTGTTTTGTGTATGTTTAAAGTACGGATAATTGGTGTGTAATAGTTAATTGAATGACAAGTATTGGTGTTCGTTTGTTTATGTTCATTTAGACTTGTTCATTTATATTCGTTTATGTTCGTTCGTTTAGCATGTTAACGAACGAACATAAACAAACACAAACACACCTGAATTTTAAACGAACGAACACGAACGCAATTATTTTCGTTCGTTTACCGTTCATATTCGTTCGTTTGTTCTATTAAGCTAAATGAACGAACATGAACAAGCCTTTGTTCGTATTCGTTCGGTTCGTTTGCAGCCTTACGTGTGTTTAAGCATGATCTTAATATCCAACAACGATAAGTAATTTTTATTTTGTTCAAATATAAATTACGGATTTTAATGAAAATTTACATCAATTTTTTTTCTCGATTTAAATTAAAAATTGATATATATCTGGAAAATATATGACTGGTAATTTTATAAGTGATGTTAGCTACCTTATAATTAAATAAAAATATAAGATTATTTAATAATATTTTATTATTAAAAAGAAAGGTTGTTGAAATTGTAAAAGACTATATAGTAATTAATTATAGCTTTGGCAAATAGGGTATATTTCAAATATAACCATGTCCATTTGTATAACCAATGTAACCTAATTAATTGAGATATTTATGAAAATGATGAGAGTTCATTTATTATGATTTGAATATTTATGAAAGATAACTAAAGTTCATTAATCATGATCAATAATTTATATTAGGAAACAATCAAAACTTTCATGAAATCACATATTGATCAAACTAAATGGACGGCTGAGATTGAGTTGTATTGGTTGTACAAATGTAAAGAGTTGTATAATAACTCACCTCTTGGCAAATAAAATCTTGATACTTAAAGTCAAAATATGAAAACTAATAAACAAAGAAAATAATAATAAATGTCAACAAAATATCAGGTAATTTTTTTTTGAAGTATATGATATTTATATAGGTAAATAGAATAAATAAACTCATACACCCTCCTTACATTTGGTGAGGTTTGAACCCTTGACCTTCTAGGAGGCAACAGACTCACAAACTGCTAGGCCAAAAACCCTTTATTTATCTCAGGTAAACTTTCAGAATAACTGAACGTCTATCTTCAAAACCATTCCCTTCTTAATGGTCACCATCCGAGTACTTCGAAGGTCACTGTCAAGAGTTCATAAATTTAGTCGAGGTGTGTACAAACTTACCTGAACACCAATGTTGATTTAAAAGAAGTTATCAAAACTTGTCAACATTTACCTTCAAAAGATTAAAATTTAAAATTACAAATAAATTGTGTGTAAGTACAACTTATTAAAGCTCTATGTTTGAATTCGTGTAATAAACTGCAGATAAACATAATCAAATACATGATAAATATTTCATTTTTAAGTATAAAAAATTAAAATATAATTAAGATAATCATTAAGTTCTAACAGAGTAATTAATTATTATCTTTATAAAAAATTATATTATTAAACTAAAAATAAATTACTTTGTTATTAACTCTAAATTAAATTATAATAAAAAATAAATTAAAAGGGTTGCACAAAGAAAATGAGAACTTTTAAATAGTTATTGATACTAATATCGATATTATTATTTTTAAATTTGTATGATGTCTTCAAATTTACATTTTATTCAAAATAAAAACATTGTTTGTTATCTGAAAACCACATAAAAACATATTATATCGACTAGACAGATCAAAATGAAATATTAAAATCAAGATGTATCTCGTTACATTGCACGAGTACTATTCTAGTTTCTTAAAATATGAATTATTTCTTAAATCTATAAATTATTTAAAACTGCACTCGGAATAAGTCAAGAAAACATTCCACTTGGGAATTAGAACGTCGTCGTAGGAAGCATCCATTGACTTAACAAAGAAGTATATACACAAAACTCGTTCTTAGGGAATCATTCTATTTAAAGACTTTCAGTGTTCATAATATCATCAAATTATACATACACGTTACAGTATCTAGAGACAGAAGCTCTTTTATCCTTTGTTTGTTGGCGTACAAAAGTTATGAGACATCCAAGTTATGATTTGCAGTCAGGTTTGAGAAAAGGTTCATGGAGTGTAGAAGAAGATCGGAAGTTGGTAAATTATATAAATAATTATGGTATCTCGAACTGGTGTAAGATGTCAATATATGCTGGTAAGTTAACTATATTGTATCTCTTAAGTATAACGATATATCGATGCAATTTATCTGATCTTGAAAACCCACCAACAGTAGAAGGAAACTGTGTTGTGCATGTCTGTTCTGATATGATTGTGTTTTTGGTATTCTTTCCAGGTCTTGCGAGAACCGGAAAAAGTTGCAGGTTAAGATGGATGAATTATTTAGATCCAATCATAAAACGAGGGAACTTCACCAACGAGGAAGAAAAAATAATACTTCATTATCATTCAGTTCTTGGAAACAAGTATGTTCGACTACATAATCTAAATCTAATTAAAGATGATTTGTTTGGTTCCAATTTTTTTTTAATATTTAAAAACCCAAAGCAATCTATTCAGGGGATGTTTGGGATTGCTTATTTGAAACAACTTATTCTTTTCTACAAAAGCACTTATCAAGTTATTATAAGTCAGAAGGGTTTAACTTCTTCAAAAACTCATCATTACCTGTTTGACACCGGTATAAGTTGTTTATCCAAACATTCAAAAGTGTTTATTACCGGTACCACACCGGAATAAGTCAATAAGTTGTTTTTATAAGCAATCCCAAATACCCTCTCAATATTCAAAGTCATATGTTATTAATTACTAATAGAGAATAACAAAACATATATATATTCGCAGAATGTGTATATATTAATTTTAATATTGTGTGAATTTTGTGACAGATGGTCTATGATTGCAAGAGAAGTGCCAGGAAGATCAGATAATGAAATCAAAAACTACTGGCACACCCATCTCAAGAAACGCAGTATCACTCAAGGTCATCCGGTTCCAATAACAAAACCTAAGGAAATGACAAAATCAAGTGATGTGGACAATGTTGAAAGTTTTGTTAAAAGTTTAGTTCTTAATTCTGCTGATCATTTCTTCGCGAGAACATTCTCAGATAAAAGTTCTACATCTGATCATGAACAACAAAAAGTCGAGTTTGAAGAAACTAGTTATTATGATATTAGTTCACCCGGAACAATTCAAGATTTCAAAAGTTTCCGACAACAACTTTATTTTGCTAGTAATACTGATCAGGATTCGGAGCTACAAAATCCTCTTCAAGATCCAACTTCTGATCATGAGTTCTTCGTTGATGATTCATACAACTTGCAAGATATCTAAGCTCTGAAATTATATATAGGAACTAGTCTTCGTTATAATGTTCTTAAGTTTCTCATAATGAATTAGGGTTTTTTCTCATTTTTGTTATAGTGTTCATTATACTGTTATTAAAAAAAACCAGCATTTCATTCTTTTTAATTTGACATCAATCTCGATATAGTGTTTTTATAATCTTTTGTTACGTGAAATGGTATATCTGTTTAATATTCACCATGAATATTTATGCACGTTCACATGCATACACCAACTGTTTAATATTAATACATCAGTATGATATTCATCATGAATATACAACTCGCTATAACATTTATAATGAATAGTTATGTGTTCTTACTTGAATTAAACAAATATACAGTATTCATTTATCACTATGACATTAATAATTAATATACATTTTCACTATAACATTTATCATAAATATAAATATTGTGTATTTTGAATATTCATGTACGTTCATGTATATAGAACAACTCTTCAATATTTAAACATCAGTATGATAATCATTATGAATATATTTTTTAACTATAACATTAATCATGAATATATATATATATATATATATATATATATATTGTGTGTGTGTTCATGTGTATACAATGACTCATCAATATTCATACATTAATATTCATTTTCACAATGACATTCATCATGAATATGATATTAATAACAAAAATACATTTTCAGTATAACATTCGGCATTATACATACTATTCATCATGAATATACATATTATTCATCATGATATTTATCATAAGTATTAATTTTTCATCATAACATTCACCGTGCATATTAGATTACTCGATTGATCTGATGAGTTCTCGATTCGTCTCGATAGGTTCCTGATTTGTCTCGATAAAGTTGAAAGCGGTAGGTTATTGTTTTATAGAAACAAACATACAATAAGTCAATCGACAGGTTATCAATCGGTCTTGATGAAAAATTAAGGTGATAAGTTATGATTTTACACACACAGCGAAACATCAAGTCAATGGATGGTTCTTGATTAGTCCCGATTGGTCTCGATGGGTTCTCGATTAGTCTCAATCGGTTACGATGGGTTCCCGATCTGTCTCGATAAAAGCTCAATGTTATAAGCTATGATTTTACACATATAAATAGATAATAAATCAATCGATAAGTTCTCGATAGAAAATGAATGTAGTAGTTACGGTCTTAATTGCATAAATACTATTTTTGTTCCTAATTGTTATCTATTTAATCCTAAGTTAGGGACCATTTATCAATATTTATTGGGTTGTTGGAACTTGACTTATATGTCAGAAATTTTGTCTCACGTAAAAGCCTCATGGAAACTTAACCTACTTATTAAAGACTGATTGTTTGACAGTTATTGAATGATTTGGTATAAAATGATTAAGTGGTCAGAATAATTAAGATGCTCTCATGATATAATGAAAAATGAAATATAATTGTTTGATAATTATTTACAATAAAATTAGGGTGCTTAATGGTTAAGGAAGACCCATGATACAAAATCATTCAGATGGTTTTAGAACCATTAACAGACAGACTTTTTTGTCAAACAAGATTCACCTTTTAACGATTCAGAAGCTATCTCTCAATAGAACTATTAAGAGATAAACAAATAACCCCTAATTCTTAAGCAATGAATGAAACATTTAAGAGCTTGAACCTTGGTGTGTTGGTGTTTCTTGTTGGATTCTCCTTTATACATATATACATATTGGGGAGTGATCAAATGAAAACCACTCAATTTGTAAAAACCATAAAAACTTCATTCCACTAATCATAATTTTTCATTTTGTTCGTTTTTTTGTAATTATAAGAGGTTGATTAATCATTTTTATTGTGAAGGATGTTAATCATGGATATTATCATCTTCATTATTTTAATTTTAGAAAAATACATGAAACAATTTCATTAAAATTTCATTAAGTAGTATATGAAACAATTTCATAACCATATATGAAATAACTTAATCAAAAAAAATATATTATATGAAACAATTTCACAAGATTAAACAATTTCATGAAAAAATTTCATAAGATTACGACGGATGAGAGTAGTTTTTATGGTTTTTACAAATTGAAGTGGTTTTCATTTGATCGCTTCTCTATACATATTAAAGGTCAAAAGATAGGCATTAGGCTCAGATCTCTTGATCTTAACATGAAATTGGATTCTATTTTTTTGTTATTGTCGAATTATATTTATTTCATAGATATGTATAAGAATTCTACAATTTATGTAATTTTATTTACGTTAATATATACATCTTTCTACTTTTGATCGATTACTTCTAACAAGGTAAAAAGTCAAGACTCTCATTTATGTTCATTATTGTTGGTCACCAGTATCATTTTTGACCCTACCAGTATGCGTTGACCCGGTAAAGTTCACCACTGTCACCAGGTAAATTCTTGGTCAGCAAAATAAATGGTACCATAAGATCGTTGATGAACACCATCATCTCTAACTGGAGAAACATCTCCTTACCTTCTAAGAAGCAGCATATATTAAGTTATCTGATACGGTTTCAATGTTGAACGTTTTAAAGATAATTCAGTTTGATTTGACATATAATCTATCCTATATTATGAAACGTTTAGATTTTAACTCTTAGGTGCCGTTTGTTTTTTAAGAGGTACTTAAGTCTGAAGTCTGAATTCACTTCTGAATTTTAAGAGGTGGTGCTGAAGTCTGAAATCKGAATCAGTCAGAATGTTTGTTTTTACGTCTGAAATCTGAAATCTGAATCATTGAAATGTAGGCTTTCTTTGCAAGCATTGGAAGCTCTAAAAGCAATTAAGAGGTTTTAAGTGAAAATGTTACCTCTAAATAATTCAGACATAATCAGAGCTTTTAAGCTCTTAATTGAAAAARAAAAAAAAAACACACTTAATACCCTAAGGTCTGACCGATTCAGACATAAGAGAGTATTAAGTGCTTTTTAGGTAAAAACAAACAGGGCCTTAGAAAATCTCAATTTTACTAAAAATACAGTTAATAAAACATTATTTACAAATTAATAATACATATAAAATCTTTCATTTTCTATAACGTTTTCGTTTGACCACTTTTATAAACAATTATAATATTTATAATTTATATCAATATACTTAATTTAGAACGACCCGAATAATTTTAATCTTTCGTTATGCTCTTGTTTGTGATCCTTAGGCTTGTTAACCGAAAGGAAAATCATCAGTATCAAACATCGTCACTACAACAAAATCGGGTTTATAGGACACTCCCAATTTCTAAGTGTCGTAATAGATCTCTTTATAGGACTTAGTTTATATGACCAAAAAAATAAAGTGTCATGTCTAAAAGTGTTGTAATAAGTTTATATGACGTTTCTTGATGTCATAATAAGTTTTTTAGGACACTTTTAATATAAAGCGTCCCGTAGCAACTTTATAGGACACTATATAAAAAAATGTCCTATAAAAACTTGAGTTTATAGGACATTTTCTCAAAAGTGTCCTATAAAGTTGCTAATGCGACACTTTGTATTAAAAATGTCCTAAAAAACTTGTTAAAACGTCCAAAAGTATCATATAAACTTATTACAATGCCTTTAGATATGACGCTTTATATTTTGGTTCTATAAATCAAGTCCTATAAAGCGGTCTATTGGGACACTTAGAGATTGAGGGTGTCTTATAAACCCAATTTGTTGTAGTGTGTCTTCCAAGGTCAAGATATAAGAGCTGCGGAGGAAAAGATCATTTGGGAATTCTGTTTCTGAATTGTGATGTTATTCATCAATCTTTTTATAACGTTAATAAATTTATGGGTTTTCGAACAATTAGTATGATTTGAGAAAACTGATAGTAATCTTGAAATTGGAACCAAAGAGTAGTTAGAATGTGAATCCGACTCCAGTTGTCAATTCTGGATGTAGACGTTCGTTATGTTTTCAATATATATATCCCATGTCATTTGTCACTTTTGTGTCGTTTTTCAAAGCTACTGAGAGCGCTAATAATAGTCGTCATTTCACATTAAGCTTTTCAAGACTGTGACTAAATAATATTTGTAACATAATTCATTTAAATCACGACTTAGAACTACAAACTTAAAGACAAAGTCAATGCAGTTGATCAAGATGCAGAGTCAAAACATGTAATCACCTTAAGCATCTTAAAGTATGAAACGACTTTGAAGTCTTCCGAAACCCTTTTCATGTCCCTTCGGGTTACCATCTATAACATCCTCTTAAATCACTACAACAAAATCGGGTTTATAGGACACTCTCAAATTCTAAGTGTCCTAATAGACCTCTTTATATGACTTAGTTTATAGGACCAAAAAAATAAAGTGTCATGTATAAAAGTGTTGTAATAAGTTTATATGATGTTTTTTGACGTCGTAATAAGTTTTTTAGAACATTTTTAATATAAAGTGTCTCATTATCAACTTTATAGGACACTATTTGAATTGTCCTATAAAAACAAGTGTTCTATAAAAAAAAATGAGTTTATAGGACACTTTCTCAAAAGTGTCCTATAAAGTTGTTAATGCGACACTTTGTGTTAAAAATGTCCTAAAAAAACTTGTTAAGATGCCCAAAAACGTCATATAAGCTTATTACAACACCTTTAGCAGGACACTTTATTTTTTTGGTCCTATAAACTAAGTCCTATAAAGAGATCTATTAGGACACTTCAAATTTGAGAGTGTCCTATAAACCCGATTTTGTTGTAGTGGATGGATGTTAATACAAACGGTTTATGCCCCATGAGTTCATGATTTTCTAAACATGCTTATTAAACGTCTAGAAATCAAATACGATCTTCATTTTCAAAATGTCATGTATTAAACGTATGAATCATAACCCGATAGTAGAGGTATGACAATTATCACAATACAACAAAATCGAGTTCATAGGACATCTAAAATGTCTAAGAGTCTTAATAGGATCCTTTATAGGACTTTAGTGTATATGATCAAACTATATAACGTCCTATCTAAATATAATAGGTTTATAGAACGTTTTTTTAGCGCTAAACAAG